ACGTACAGTAATTTCTTTCTTCTTACCTTGTTTTTGTTTCTTTTGAGTTCAAAGATTAAAAGTTAAGGACATGAGTCTTTAAGTTTGACATGCAGGTTTAAAAGTTAAGGACATGCATTCCTTAAATTTGACATGCAGGTTCAAAAGATAAGGACAAACAATCCTTAACTTATAGTTTCAAGTTCAAAACTTAAGGATAGTCAGTATTTAAGTTATTGTTTCAAGTTCAAAACTTAAGGACTTTCTGTCCTTAACTTTGAGTTTCAGTTTCAAAAGTTAAGGACAGGCAGTCCTTAACTTATAGTTTCAAGTTCAAAACTTAAGGACGTGCAGTCCTTAAGTTATTGTTTCAAGTTCAAAACTTAAGGACATGCAGTCCTTAACTTTGAGTTTAAAGTTCAAAAGTTAAGGACAGACAGTCCTTAACTTATAGTTACACGTTCAAAAGTTAAGGACAAGCAGTACTTAACTTACGGTTACAAGTTCAAAAGTTAAGGACAATAGGTCCTTAACTTTGACTTACAAGTTCAAAAGTTAAGGACGCTTGGTCTTGAAGTTTGAGTTCCAAGTTCAAAACTTAAGGATATGTAACCTTGAAGTCCTGAACTTAGAGTTTCAAGTTCAAAAGTTAAGGACATTTAGTCCTGAAGTCCTGAATTTAGAGTTTCAAGTTCAAAAGTTAAGGACATGTAGTCCTGAAGTTAAGGACATGAGCAGAAGGGTATTTTTGTCCGAGCAGTTAAAGTTTATTAAACCAGTGGCTACAGACTAAAGACATTTAAAACGCTGGCTTTAAAATAAAGACATAAGCTGTTAGTGGCTATCTGTGCACATCGCCCACAATCTAACGTGTTTATAGTCTGGCCCCTCTATATCGATGTGCATTTCACATAATGTTTAGAATGCTAAACAAGAATAGCACTAGTAAGTGTTTTTAGAAAAATTAATAAATTATGAAAGAGGTTGTATATGTTTGGACAAGTCTTTGAAAAAATAAATGAAATTACTAGTATCATTGTTTTGTGTTTTGTGAAAATTGCCTTGTTTTTCAAATTATGCTTGTAAACATAAACAGATTGATCGATGAATTAGTCGCAATTTTTACTATTACATCATAATTCACCATCGTTTTTTTTATTTTGTCGATATTTATTTTGATTTCTCTTGCATAGTTTCAAATTTATACATTAATATTTTGCAGCAAAAAGATGAGAAAAATCATTCAGGTGGAGCGCCACCAAACACGCCATCCGGATTGTTTAAGAGGAACAAGCAGCAACCGGTTGACCGGAAGCGACCACCCTCTTCACCGTCACCACCACCGCCTTCTTCCTCTATGCATCGCTCCACATTGCATTCTTCTAAGTCAGAATCAGTCCAAATGCACCCAGAGGATGCTTCAAGTCAAGACAATGATGGTGTTGAACCTGATATAGACCATAATCTTCATGCTGCCAGGGCCAAACTTAGACGTTCCAACAAAGGGATCAGTTAGTAAAACTGTCACACAATAAAGTAAAGACAGTTTTGTGAAATTGTAAAAAGTTTGAATGTGATTAAACATTTTTGAATGAGTTCTTTTTTCTTCTCCATTTGTTTGTTTTTTCAGATTTGACAGAATTACATCATAAATGAAATTCTTTCCGGTCTAACTTAATTATTAATGATTCGATCATCTTAGGCAGAAAATAAGGCAGAATTTCTTGTAAGAAATTTACTTGCACGATAGTTTTTAGCAAGGGCAATTTCAGTCTTAAAGAATAGAGATCGTGACTCGCCTTGAAACCACTTCTTTTCCTAATAAATTTCTGCCGAATTTGCTGATACTATAATAACTACATTGTACTAATACAATACAGAGCTGCTGCCTCATTAACTGAATGAGCATGCCTTGAATGAATGAGCATACCTTGAATTGAAGCTCTTGAAGGTTTTGTTTTTTTTCCAAGAAAAGGTGATAAAAAAGTAATGTGCTCTTTATTAAAATTTTGATGTCTAAGTTGAGACTTGAGAGCGAAAATTAAAAGATTTAAAAATCATGGTGTACTGATAATAGGCTATATTCATGTAGTTTAGCTACCATTTACGCCCCAACTTAGCTATACTTTATTGCTATATGAAGGTTAAATGACAACAAATGGCTCTAATTATGAATTTTATGCTTTGCAGGAGCAAGTCTTGATTATGAGGACATTGAACAGTGTTTGGAGCTAATTTGGAGCAAGGAAAGCCAATCGGAGGTGAATGCGCGTGAAAGAAGAAGGAAAAAAATAGAAGACAGCTGAACTCCATGAGCGCGGGCCAATTGCGGCCGCGCTCAAGCCGCGCTCGTCGGGCAGAAAAGAATGCAATATGCGCGGTCCAAGCGCAGCCGCGCTCGTCACTTTGAGGAACGTTATTCTCAGGGGTAAATTCGTAAGTTCGGGGGCAACTCTTCTTACCTATAAGAAGCCCAGGTCGCCCAAAAAGAAGGTATCAAGGTTTTTGAAGAATTATTGAAGGCAAAAAGAGGCAAGAGGCAAGGCGAAAGATTCGGCATAGAGTTTTACCTTTCTTCCTCTTGTTTTGATCATTAATGATGAATTCTACTGTGATGATTGTGAAAACGATTATGCGTAGCTAAACATTTAATCTAGGGTTTTGATGGAACCTCTTGGAGGATGAATTTCTGATATGTTAATATAGATTTGCCTTAATAATAATTTCTCTGTTTGTTCAACTATATTGTGATTGCTATTGAAGGGCCCTCAATCGGCTGTGCCTATTTAGTATGCATTACTCGGAAAAGAGTGTATATTCAGGTAGTTGTTGAACAATACCACTCCTAACGTATATGAGGGTTCAATACGAAGGGTTTAAAGGTGAGATTAGGGATAACGAAACATCGGGTGCAATCTAAGTAAGCTGTAACTAAGGCCAGCTAGCATAATTCGAAAGAATATGTCTAGTATATTGTTGTAATTACTCGGGAGAGAGTTACGACAGTCAGAGTGCTCATGATCGATAGAGAAGACTTAGGCAAATTTATAGCAAACATAGCAGAAATGATTCCGACAAGAGGGAAAATCATAACCTTAGACCATTCTCATTCTTGCTTACAATCAGTTTATAACTAGTTCTTAATTTACTCCATTTTTATTACATAATATTTAGTTAATAAACACCCAAATTGTTACTCAAATATCTTTGAAGATTGAATACGTGAGTTTTTGTGAGTCCAATAGCTGTGATTGATAGGATAATTCCCTGTGGGATTCGACTTCGGACTTGTTAACCGGAATATATTTGCAGCGACCGCTTTGTCCTTTTTATAAGCCATAGTTGGGCGTGATCAAATTTTAGCGCCGTTGCCGGGAAATTAACGGTGTTATTGATTGCAGTTAAAAAGAAGTGCAGAAATTCTTAATGTGGCCAATTTTTCTCAATTTAAACTAATCATTGAAATTCTAACGTTTGTAGTCGTGGTTTGTTACAGGTGCATGCCTAGAAACTCCTCAAGAACTGGAGAATTGCTCGAAGCATTATCATATCCTGAGAAAGTCTTCAAGTCATTGGATCGTGCAAACAGGAAGGCAAACAATAACAGAACTCAACCGAAAACATTGAACCAGACATGGAAGACGACAATCTAAACAACAGAAACAACGCAAATGACCCAAATGATCAGGGTGTGGCACCTCTTGTGCCAGAAGCAGCACTATATGACTGGGCATAACCCACAGCTGACAACTTAGCAACTGCTATTGTAGTCCCTCAGATACAAGCAGATTCATTCCAGATCACAAATACATGCTACATCTGTTGCAGAACAAGGGACTATTCTCTGGGTCATACGTTGAAGATCCTCAGCAGCATCTAAAGGACTTCCTGTCAATCTGTACCACGCAGAGGCAGCACAATGTGACACTGGAAGCAATACGTTTGTTGTTGTTTCCATTCTCAGTGACAGGAGCAGCCCAGACTTGGCTTAATTCATTCCCTATCAACTCCATCACTACTTGGGAGGAGTTAGTCAAGAAATATTTGAGCAAATTTCATCCACCCAACAAGACTGCTCAGCAAATTGATGAGATATTGAGCTTCAAATAGAGACCAACTGAGACACTACATGAAACGTGGGAGAGATTCAAGGGTCTGCTAGTTACGTGTCCACATCATGGTATTCCGGAGCAGATGTTGGGGTGGAGATTTTATATGGGTTTAGCAGATACTTTGAAAGCCAATGTTGATGCTTCAGTAGGTGGAGCATTTTTGAGCAAGACATTCAGAGAGAGCAAGATCCTGCTTGACAAGATGGCACAAAACTCAGGATGGACAACAAGAAACGCTCCAATCACTCCGGTGGTTCATTCAGTGGGTCTAGACCCGGCTAACTCCATAGCTACAAATATGGCCACTCTAATGACACAAATGAGCATCCTCACCAAGAAGGTTGAAGAATTAGGCCGGAAGCAGCAGGTACACATAGTTGATACAACCAATGGGGGTCTATGTACATCATGCATTAACCAACCATATGTCTGCTCATGGAGTGTTGAAGATGAGAATCAACAATATCAGGAGAACATGAATTATGTGGCCAACTACGGGGGACCAAGACCAGGTGGTCAGAATTGGGGTCAGCAGAATCAACAATACAGACCAGCTCAGCAGCAGTACAATAACAACAATATCATGGGGCTATGCGACCATAAGGGCAAATTGTGCCTTACCAAAGGCAGCAAGGGTACAACCAGCAAAATCAGCAGCATGCTTATCAACAACCTCCACAACAACAGATTGTGAGACATGAAGATGGGTTTGCTAAACTCGAGGGTATGATGCAACAAGTGATTGGGTCTACTGGAAAACTAGCTGACAGAGTAGACTCACATGAGTCAGCGATTAAGAATATTGAGATCCAGTTAGGACATATTTCCATGGCCCTAAGTAATCGTCCTCATGGGACGTTACCTGCAGACACCTAAATCAATCCGAAAGAGCAGGGCCCGAAGCAGCTGATGGAAGTGAGTCTCCGAAATGGTAGGGACTTAGATCCGGAGCAAGAAATTGCTCGCGAAAGCAGGCCGACTGAGACACTGGTGCCAGTACCCATTGACATAGATGATTCAGCAGGTTTAACTGAGGTAACGGTACAGAATGCGCAAGAGAACACCAACAAAGAATAAGAGGTTGTGAAAGAGATGGAGGCTGCACCGGAACCGACAGTAGAAGTAGTGCCTGAGCAATAGAAAAACCAAATTACAGGGAAGAAGCGACCTCCAGCACCATTCCCACGGAGATTGGCCAAGTATCAAAAAGATGAGCAGTACAAGAAATTTTTGGAGATGTTGAAGCAAATTCAGGTAAACATTCCATTGATAGATGCTTTAAAGGAAATGCCTGGGTATGCAAAGATGATGAAGGACTTGATGTCCCGCAAACTCGACTTCCAGGACTTGGCCACGGTTACACTGACTCAGACCTGCAGTGCTGTTGTGACGGGACCCATAGCTGAGAAGCTGTCTGACCCAGGAAGTTTCACAATCCCTTGCACAATAGGCAACTTTGCGTTTGCTAAGGCAATGTGTTATTTGGGAGCTAGCATAAATCTTATGCCCCTAGTTATCTACAAAAGGCTAGACATTGGAAGAGCTAGACCCACGTCTATGCTACTACAGCTGGCTAACCGAACTGTGAAGAGGCCCTCGGGGATTCTAGATGATGTATTAGTGCAGGTTGGGAAGTTTGTGTTCCCAACAGATTTTGTCATCCTTGACTGTCGGGTTGACGAGGAAATTCCCATAATTTTGGGAAGACCATTCTTGGCCATTGGGAGAGCTTTAATTGATTGTGAAACTCGAGAGCTCAAAATGAGATTAAACGATGAAGAGATAACATTCAACGTGCAGAAATCTATGCGCAGTCCCAGTGAATTTGCCAATTGCTCTCTAATAGATGCGGTGGATGTAGTGTTGGAGGAGGACGATGCAACATTGAACATTAAAGACCCTCTAGCAGCTTGTCTCATGAACTTAGACGAAGCTAATGGTGAAGACTTGGCAGAGTGGGTACTTGCTCTTGAAGGCCAAGATTTTTGGAAAAGGGAGATTGAATTTGAGCGTTTGCACTTGGAGGAAAGAAAAACTCCTCCAGTTAAGCCGTCAATAGAAGAGCCACCAAAGTTGGAACTAAAGCTACTGCCATCTCATCTCAGGTATGCATTCTTAGGACCTAACTTAACTCTACCTATTATTATCTCATCCAGTTTGTTAGATGTGCAGGCAGAACAGCTTTTGCAGGTACTAACTGAGTGCAAGACTGCAATTGGGTGGACCATTGCAGACATTAAGGGGATCAGCCCGGCCTTCTTTATGCATAAGATTCTGCTGGAAGATGGGCACAAACCTTCCAGAGAACATCAAAGAAGGCTGAACCCTAACATGAAAGAAGTGGTGAAAAAGAAAGTGATTAAATGGATAGATGCGGGAATCATATTCCCCATCTCTGACAGCAACTGGGTTAGCCCAGTGCAGTGTGTACCTAAAAAAGGAAGTATGACGGTAGTGAAAAATGAGAAGAATAAGCTGATCTCTACACGAACAATCACAGGTTGGCGAATCTGTATGGACTAGAGGAAGTTGAACTTGGCCACCAGGAAGGATCACTTCCCACTGCCATTCATTGATCAGATGCTAGATAGATTGGCAGGGAGGTCTCACTTTTGCTTCCTGGATGGGTACTCGGGGGTATAATCTGATTTCCATTGCCCCAAAGGATAGAGAGAAAACGTCGTTCACCTGCCCTTATGGAATCTATGCTTTTCGGCGAATGTCGTTTGGCCTATGCAATGCACCCGCCACATTCCAAAGGTGCATGATGTCCTTCTTCACAGATATGGTAGAGGAGATAATGGAGGTTTTCATGGATGACTTCTCACTGGTGGGGAATTCATTCGATGATGGCCTTGTGAACTTGAGGCGAGTTTTGAAAAGGTGTATCGAGACTAATCTGGTACTCAACTGGGAAAAGTGCTATTTCATGGTACAGGAAGGTATAGTCTTGGGGCACCTAGTGTCAAGTAAAGGTATTGAGGTGGATCGTACAAAAGTTGATGTGATATAAAAACTTCCACCACCCACCTCCGTCAAAGCAATCAGAAGTTTTCTTGGGCACGCCGGTTTCTATAGGAGATTTATAAAAGATTTTTCATAAATTGCTAACCCCTTGTGTAAATTGCTTGAAAAATATCACCCTTTTGTGTTTTTTGATGACTGCAGGGTACCTTTTGAGGAATTAAAGAAGAGACCGGTAACAATACCTATCATAGTTGCCCCCAACTGGGAGCAACCGTTTGAGCTGATGTGTGATGCTAGTGACTATGCTGTGGGAGCAGTGCTTGGGCAGTGAAAAGATAAAATCATGCATCCAATATACTACGCAAGTAAGACGTTGAGTGGAGCCTAGCTAAATTACACCATGACCGAAAAGGAGATGCTGACAGTGGTGTTCGCATTTGACAAGTTCAAGTCTTACCTGATAGGCTCAAAGGTAATTGTTTATACTGACCATGCTGCTCTCGGACCGCTCCACCTGCCACTTTAGTTTAAGTTATTTTTTTTTATTTTCTTTTTATTTGTTTTGTTCTTTTAACTATAACATTCTAACTTACCCCCCCCCCCCAATCTGATATCCCCTCCCTCTCTCTCTTAATCTATTCACGCCTAAACACTTAAACCCTCCCGTACAAATCAAAAATTCACAACCCTTCCCCTTCTCCCCAAAGTACCCCAACCCTCATACCCCCCCCCCCTTCACCATCAAATCACACCCAATCCACTCTCCTCTCTTCTAACAGTCCCCTCACCTACCCTAACTACATCTCTACCAGGTAAGATCAATTGTTTCAATTATTTTTGGGATATTTGAGTTCTTGGTTATGTAGTAGTTTTTCTTTCTTTTCTTTAGTAGATTTCTTTTGTAGTGTGCTCTTGTATGCTAGTGGGTTTGTTGAGGTTGTTTTAGATGTATCTCTTGACATGTGTGGGTGACATTGGGGCAATTGTGGTTGAGTTTGGCTTATAACTTTGTTAATTGGGGACTCCGGTGAATGGTGCATATAAAGTGTTTGTTAAAATGCCTCAGTGAGTTGTTAAAGTTAATTGTGACCAATTGTGCGGATGAAGTCTGAGTAACCGCCTTTGGTTCACATCTTTTGTGTTTCGCTGATGATGTTCTTTATTTCAGGTAGCATGGAGCCTTCCAAGAAACGCTGGACCACCGGTACTTCATCCAGCGACCAAGCTGGATCCTCCAAAGCACGCGCCTCAACTCCTGCTCATCCTTATGATAGTTACAAGTTCGTCTCCGCCGCAGCTCAGGACCGTTTTGGTGACAAGGCATCCAAGAAGCCCATATCGGAGAGGGGCATGGATATAGGGTCTCTCCAGTATGGCTGTCCCAACTTGTATAATGAGTTGGTACGGCGCGGGATGGAGATTTTTTTTGAAGAATCGAATGACGCAAATTTGATTGTTGTGCACGAATTTTACGCCAACGTTAAAGAACATGTGAACGGTGTGTGCACAGTACGCAAGAAGAATTTGGACGTCTCTACTGAGGCCATTCGAAGAGCATACCGGCTACTCGCACCTGTGGCGGAGGCGGAGGACTACTATGAAGCCTATGGTAGACAATACACCCAGTGGGAGTTATTCTTTGAAACAATATGTGTGCCTGGCAAGGAAATTGTGTGGATGAAACATGGGCGTAAGTTCCATTCGGCGGCACTAACCTTTGAAGGGAAGTGTTGGATGTATGTCATTGATAACCGTCTGCTCCCGTCCTCCAACACCACGGAAGTGAATGCTCCTCGAGTTGCATTGATTTGGTGTTTCATGAATGGCCACAATTTTGACGTGGCCAAGCTTATTCACAAGGAGATGTTTACTCGTTGTTCGGTGAAGAGGTATGGTTTCTTCTTCCCTTCCTTAGTCACTAGGATATGCCGGGCAGCTCGGGTGCCGGAAAACTTGAGCGTGGATGGAAAAGTACCAAAAAAGGCAAAGTTTCGAGTGGATAAGGTGATTATTGGGAAGGAGCCTGTGGCACCTGGTGGTGATAATAGTGATGATTCGGATGCACCTGAGGAGGGAGAGGATGAGCAGGAGGAGGTGGGAGCTAAGTCGCCCACCCATGAGCATGCTGTGGAAGCCGCGGGACCATCTAGGGTTGTTCGGGTTACTCGGTTAGCAGCCTTAGAGCAGGAGATGGCAGGGCTACGTACTACGGTCACAGACTTGGGGACTAGAGTTGATGCCTTGGCCACCCAAAATGCTAAATCAGAAAAGAAAATCATGGGCTGGCTGCGTGCGTTGGGGAGGGCGCGTCACCTTGACCCTGGCATTGTCTCCGGTCAGGACTGATCTGTCAGGGAAGTTCCTTTACCTCGCATTTATTTATTTTGTATGACATGGGGACATGCTATCTTTTTAAGTGTGGGGTGGGGGATACTTCGTTTGTATGTTGTATATATGTAGGAACATAGCTTGATTTTGGTCTTTAATTAGTTGTCTAAATGTGTGATTCGACTTGTCCCGACGATGGATATCACTCGACGGGTTTCTTGAGGGTCTAAGTCGATATAAAACAAAAAAAAAGATTTTATTTTGTAGGTAGTGTATCAATTCCCCCTTGGTTTTTCTTTGGACAGCGGTTCTTTTCCAAGGGTTTTGTTTGAACCGGTGTAGTTAGTTTTTTTTAGGTACTTATGGGCTATGAGTTGAGATGGAAAGAGGATCTCTTAACGTTGTTACGCCTTGAATACAGTAGACACTTTAGTGTGACGCTTAGTCTTAGTTGTTGATTCTTGTGAGATTGCCTTAAATTGTATGTTCTTAACTTGACTTAAGTACTCAGACGAGAGTGTTTTGATAAGCCAATCTAGAGTGAGTCATGTGACATGTGTGTGTGAGAATTGTTGTATTCTATGCACTGCATTTGATGCCTAGAACTTGCCCTGTGTGTTTGCAAAGCGAAATAGTAGTTTTATTCAGTTTTGGAAGTGATATAGGCGTTTCTTTGTTGAACTAGATCTGTATATTTTACCCGCCTAATTGTTATGTACCGTAGTTAACCCTTTGAGCCTGTAATCCTATTTCCTTGGCAACCACATTACAAGCCTTACCCAATTGTTTGAATGAACCATCTGTTTGAACCTTTTCACCTCTCATAAGCACTTGAATTATGATGAACTGATAAAAGTTAAAGTGTGGGGTGGTTGGTTTGGCTTTTGAGTGGAACTAACGAAATCAGGAGAAAGGTGCATGGTTTTGAATAAGTAAGAGCCACTTAAAAAAAGAAAAAAAAAGAGAATAAAATAGTTATATTATTGTGAAAAATAGTCTTTGATAAGTAGTGGCTCTTGATTAAGTGTACCTAAAGAAGCATGGAGTTAATATATATTGATATAAAAGGTGTAGTCTTGGTTTGACATAAGTGTGGGGTTCTGAATGTTAAAGTATATGTATTAAAGTGCTTAGGGAGGTAGTCACTCTTATATCCAAATGTATCCTACCCGTCCCTTAGCCTACATTACAACCAAATAAAGTCCTATTTGATCCTAGACTGAATAAGCTCGATTAGTAGAGTAATACACTACGGGCAAGCCTATGGTGCATTTTTTGTGGCATATGAATGTTCTTTCTGAGAGTGAGTGAATTTTGTCTATTTGAGCTCCTAGTTGTTCTGGATGTTTACTGGTTGTGGAACTACTCTCATTTGCAATGTGAGGGCACTTGATTCATGAAGGAAAGGTACATCTTGACCTTTGTGTAGAGTAAGTGAGTAAGTTATGAATATTGCACGACATGTGAGAGTCAACTCTTGAGGCAAAGATGTTACACTACTGGACACAATCCTTGTGATATGTTCTTGGTGTGATGAGTTAGAGAAGTTTCTTAGCGAAGGAACCTCTCTAGAGTATGGTTGATTGCTCGGGACGAGCAATAGTTTAAGTGTGGGGTGTTGATAATAGGCTATATTCATGTAGTTTAGCGACTATTTACGCCCCAACTTAGCTATACTTTATTGCTATATGAAGGTTAAATAACAACAAATGGCTCTAACTATGAATTTTGTGCTTTGCAGGAGCAAGTCTTGATTATGAGGACATTGAACAATGTTTGGAGCTGATTTGGAGCAAGGAAAGCCAATCGGAGGTGAATGCGCATGAAAGAAGAAGGAAAAAAATAGAAGACAACTGAAATCCATGAGCGCGGGCCAAGCGCGACGGCGCTCAGGCCGCGCTCGTCAGGCAGAAAAGAATGCAATATGCGCGGCCCAAGCGCGGCCGCGCTCGTCACTTCGAGGAACGTTATTCTTAGGGGTAAATTCGTACGTTCGGGGGCAACTCTCCTTAACATATAAGAAGCCCAGGTCGCCAAAAAAGAATGTATCAAGGTTTTTGAAGGATTATTGAAGGCAAGAAAAGGCAAGAGGCAAGGCGGACGATTCAGCATAGAGTTTTACCTTTCTTCCTCTTGTTTTGATCATTAATGATGAATTCTATTGTGATGATTGTGAAAACGATTATGCGGCTAAATATTTAATCTAGGGTTTTGATGGAACCTCTTGGAGGATGAATTTCTGATATGTTAATATAGATTTGCCTTAATAATTTCTGTGTTTGTTCAACTATATTGTGATTGCTGTTGATTGAAGGGCCCTCAATCGGCTGTGCCTATTTAATATGCATTACTCGGAAGAGAGTGTCTATTTAGGTAGTTGTTGAACAACACCACTCCTAACGTATATGAGGGATCAATACGAAGGGTTTAAAGGCGGGATTAGGGATAATGAAACCTTGGGCGCGATCTAAGTGAGCTGTAACTGAGGCCAACTAGCGTAATTCGGGAGAATATGTCTAGTATATTGTTGTAATTACCCGGGAGAGAGTTACGATAGTTAGAGTGCTCATGATCGATAGAGAAGACTTAGGCAAATTTATAGCAAACATAGCAGAAAGGATTCCGACAAGAGGGAAAATCATAACCTTAGACCATTCTCATTCTTGCTTACAATCAGTTTATAGCTAGTTCTTAATTTACTGCATTTTTATTACATAATATTTAGTTAATAAACACCCAAATTGTTACTCAAATATCTCTGAAGATTGAATACGTGAGTTTTTGTGAGTCCAATAGCTGTGATTGATAGGTTAATTCCCTGTGGGATTCGACTTCGGACTTTTTAACCGGAATATATTTGCAGCGACCTCTTTGTCCTTTTTATAAGGCATAGTTGGGCATGATCATGTACTAAATTTGATTCAATTTGCAAATAGCCCTTCCCCTTTTTTTCATCCATTGAAAAGTAATTGACACATTTGGAGGACATTTTATGGAACATTTGAGTCATATCTTCCTACTGTTTATCCTATTTCCTTATCTAATGGAGCAAATAGCTCCTGATTCCCACATACACAATTCCCTTCCACCAAAGGCCAAAATCCTTGTACAAACCTCTATGAATCTACTTATCCACCAAACCCAACACCAAACTACATTCTCCACCCTAAACTTTCATATTGAATAGATAGGGAGAGCAAAAAGCTTCTAGAACTTTCTGCAGCTCCCCCAATCTTTATCACAAATACCCCGGGGCTCTTTCTCTTACTGTCCATTCAATACCATTTTCTCCTATCCAATGGCTTGCTCTGCTTCTTCAACAGCACTTGTTTCTTCCAACCCAAAAGCAGCTTCCATTTCTCCCAAATCCTCCTACAATTCCCCCATTTCTCAATGCCTCTCTCTTCCTTCCTCTTTCAACGGGCTCCGTAATTGCAAGCCTTTTGTTTCTCGTGTACCCCGTTCCCTCTCTTCTCGTGTCGCTCAATCCCAACGCCGCCGTTTCACTGTCCGTGCATCTGTAAGTTTCTCTTTCACACCTTTCTTGTCTTGCATTACAACACTGACTCTTAGCTTTTAACTGTTACTATTTATATTAGTTATTCTGAATTTGTTTTTCCGGGAGAAAGGCTTTACTTTAATTCACTTCATCTGTGTCCTCCGCTTGAGTTTGGAAGCTGTTCCTTTGAACTTTAAATCCTACTAATTTTTCACATTTCACGTTAAATCTAGCAAAATATTTGACTAAGGCCAAAACTGCTTAAGGTATATATAGGGGATCACTTTGAACCAATACCCAAACATACGGGACCATTTTTATCATACAAGGCAATGTTAATTGTATGTATGGACTGTGTTTTAGTGAGAAGAGAATTCAAATTTATATGTTCACTTGTACCTAACTTTGTAATGGTAGAGTGGTAAGCTGGAGTTGATATTTAGGATTAACTCATTACAGTATGTTGTCTGCTCCATACTTTGCCTAAAGGATTTGATGGATTGGATGACACTGATTTTAATTAAAACTTATGGCTACCTCTTGCAACCGGATATAAAGGAAAACTAATATTGGGCATGACTATCTAGAAGATATTAGAAAAGTTAAATTAGATGACCAAGTGAAATAAAAGAAAGTTTCTGTTCAAGATTCTCGATTTCCCAAGCGTCTCAAAACTTGCTTCTTTTACTCTATGTAGATAAGAGCTTGCACCATCAAAGAATGTTGATATAACCTCTCTGCTGTGTTTGTGCTTGTGTATGGATCAAGATTCATCTATCTAATGTCCTTTCATGTATCTTTTTCATATATAGAGTGAACTTCCACTTGTTGGAAATCAAGCGCCAGACTTTGAGGCTGAAGCTGTTTTTGATCAAGAATTCATCAAGGTATTATATTGGTGTTTTTATTACTTACCTATAATTGGAGAAAAATGCTTAATTCCTATTCAGAAAAGTGTGCTTAACTTTAGATTTCAAAACATGAATGGTCTTTTCCTATAAAGATTTAATGTATGGCTCTTGTCCATATACACTAAAATCATATATTTTGATATCATCACTATATTTTTCAATAATTAACAACTTGTTTTGTAAAGTTTTGTTTCTTCTAAATTTTCTTCAATTCTCACTAAAATCAGAAGAACCTTAGATTTTTGATTTAAAGGTGAAAGGTCATGCATGAAATATGAATTTGTTTAAATATAAAGTAGTATTGTCTCTCTGCCTACTATTTTATTGCGGCTTACTGCTTGCTATTTTATAGAGTTTTATTGGAAGAATGTAAAATAAGGAATTTAAAAGTAATATCTAAAACCACATAGGTGGTAAGTGGGGTGGTAAGTGTTGCAAGCCTAAATATCTGGTGAGGTTCCTGTAATTAGACCAAAATAATAAACATTAGTCAATCAGTCAATTCTGAATTAATTGATGTAGCAAAAGGCATACCTTGAGGAGTCTATATTTTTTGCAAACCCATTTGATTGCAGTTAGTGACAGAATGAGAACATAGAAAGAAAAGAGTTTAGTACTACCTTAACATGCAACGTCTGCTATAGTCCTAGGATTTCACTTCATTTCCTGCCCCCTTTAGGAACTGTAAGACGTGGCTTTACACATTTAATTGGATTCTATGGATTGTATTTGCTGCTTACAACTACAATTATCCTTTGCCTGCAGGTTAAACTATCTGAGTACATTGGGAAGAAATACGTGATTCTCTTTTTCTACCCACTAGACTTTACATTTGTTTGTCCAACAGGTTAGTTTGGCACCTGAAATCTCTCTGCTGCCAGTTTCACTTTCTTCTAATATATTTCCACTGATTGTTGTGGTTGCTGACTGTTGTTTTTATGTAATATCTTTTCCTGCATCTGTAGAAATCACTGCTTTCAGTGACCGTTATGAAGAATTTGAAAAGTTGAACACAGAAATATTGGGTGTTTCCGTAGACAGTGTGGTAGGTGTTTCTTTCCTTCAAATTTTTACTGTGAAGTTATAAATTCATAACTTGTAGTTTTCTGCCCTGCGTTTTCAGTTTCTGCATTTATTTTCTTATTTCTGTTTAATGTGATAATGTGATTGCTATTTCTTCAAAGTGCCTTTAAAAGAGTTATGTCTACCTAAATGGTTCGTCGTGCTGCATTGTGCTGCTGCACTAGTATGTCTCTTTCAGTTGTTTCCATCTCTGTATATCTTTGTGATGGTATGACTCCAAGTATGTGTGGAAGTTCCAAATAAACTTCAACTTACAGCTTGTTTGGATTGTTGCTACATGTCGTTTCATAACGTATTGTATTTTATTGTTTGATGAATACAACGTCTGGATAAATTGTATCGTTTGCCGTCACTTCATGATTTCACGCACCAACAATACGAAGAATAAACTTGCAGTATTACTAAGAAAACAATAGGATAAGGATTAGAATTATTATATAGAAAAGTAGGATAAAAGATAAAATATTATTATTTAATAATAAGGAGGGGCAAGATGAGAGAAAAAAACAAGGAAACGACGGCACCACACCATATCCGTCGTTCCATAAAGTGGCACTTTTCGTCGTTACATAACGATGGATTTAACGATACGGTACAATAAAATTTAAGTAACGATCAAAACAAACGTTGTACTTAAAGTAACAATTCGATACAATACAATAGGTAACAACCATCCAAACAAGCTGTTTAGAGAATATAGAGTGCATGTGTGAATCTTGTTTTTTGAGGGGGTTATATATCCTCGTTTTTCTTTTCGTTTGAGTAAGGTATATATCCTATTTCTTCTTTCTTATTCCTTTATTGATTAACTTAATTTTTTTTTAAAACTTTTGAATCATTAACTAGTTATTTAGACCTTTTACCTAATTTAGTTAGTATTCTGTTATTAACTAAAAACTAGGTTTGGTTTGTATAGGTTATTATATTATTTATGAGTAGAAGTGCAAGTCTATAGCTTAAGTATAGAATACATATTATATGTCTCTCATATTTATTGAGTGTGTACCCATCTTTGTTTGACGAGCATTTGACTTCATAGAAAAGGTTAATTGTGGTGCCTCAATATTGACTTGTTTGCAAATATTCAATTTTAATCTTCAATGATTTTTGTCATCTGTCTCTTGAGCATAATTTTTTGTCTTTTTTTATTGAATTCATGTTGTTGCTCTTGCAGTTCTCCCACCTTGCCTGGGTCCAAACTGAAAGAAAGTCTGGTGGGCTAGGTGATTTGAACTATCCATTAATTTCTGACGTGACCAAGTCAATTTCGAAATCATACAATGTATTGATCCCCGATCAGGTATGTCATTCTGTTTGCGACTTTTTAGCTTTGAGAATTATTTGTTGATATTGGTTGGCATATCCCTGTCCTGAGTCATTTACAGTTTGTAAAGTGTAAACTACTACTGCTACATAAGGTACTAATGAAATATTCATTTTTGGAGAAAATGCTGTGCCTTGATGCAAGGATGAAAAGCTGTATTTATGCACAAATGCAATCAATCTTGAAATAAAGTTAGCTTCTAGTACACATGCACAAGAGTATGGTATTAATATGTGGACAATAAATTCCATCAATAGTATCCCTTATAAGAAAATTGCATCAATAGTATTCACACATAATATGCCGTTTTCTTTTTAAAATGAAGAACATAGAATATGCCTTTTTATTGACTTCACTTCTTAACTACATCCCCTTCTGCTGTTATACCTTATTCACCTTCACCTCAGCCTTATAACTTATTTTGGTTTCAAGAGGAATCTGCAATTTTGGTCTTGCTGTGGTTATGGATCAGGGTGTGCATAATTTGGTTTATACCGAATTACCGAACGGAATGGAATTTGGTATTCGGTATTGGTATTTGGTTTAAATTTTTAGAAAATCTGGTATGTGGTATGGTATTCGGTGTCTAGAAATAAACTATTGAAATACCGATACCATACTGAATTACATACTAACTTAATGCACATATTATAGATTATTACATAAATATAAAAGCCATAAAATTTTACTTCCTTATCCGTGGTGCCACTCTCATGTAATTGCTTGAGCGACAATTCATATCATTACCGCAGGTTCAACTATAATTTTGGTTTGGTTTCGTTTCTAGATTTATATTTATTTCAGAACTGATGGTAGTCCAGTTCAAAAGTTCATACATGATCATGCAAGCCTTTCTTCTAACTCACTCTCTAGAAAATTGAAAGCTCCAAAAGGCACTTTCTATGTTTTAGCGTATATCCTTTTTTGTTTAAAGACTGGTCCTGAGCCGAGGGTCTTTCGGAAACAGCCTCTCTGCCTTCTTAAAGGTAGGGGTAAGGTCTGCGTACACAGTACACACTTCCATGTTTAGACTCCGCTTGTGGAATTATACTTGTTTTTTTTTTTTTTTTTTGTTGTTGTTGTACTTCTTAAAGACGGAAAAGAAAGTTATGATTATTTTATCCAAACCGAAATTGCCGAACCGAATTAACCAAAACCAAAAGAAAAATCAAACCGTATTGAATTAATAAGGTAAGGTATTGGTATAGCATTTTGAGAAACCAAAAATACCTAACGGAAATGTCTAAAAACTGTGCCAAACTGACCGACGAACATTCACTAGTTGTGGACATATCATGGAAATTAGAGCAACTTCTATCTATCAAAAATATGTTTTGTCTCCAGTATTGAAGAGGCTACTTCTGCTTTTGTCAAAGACATGTTTAAAGTTGTATTTTTCAAGATGAAAACTAGTGATATCTTACAGTAGAATTGTTTCTGATCCTCTATGTATGTCTCTGGTAATTGGTTCCATCTCTCAAAAAAACCAAAAAATGGTGAAAATAATGCTTCTCATTTGAAATTGTGTTTTCTCGTGGGCCGTGGCTTACACTTTGGTGCTAATGGAATCAGCTCCACGATTCACGATTTATCTGGTGTTGTTTCAGGGAATTGCATTGAGAGGACTTTTCATCATCGACAAGGAAGGAGTTATTCAGCATTCAACCATTAACAATCTTGGAATTGGTCGGAGTGTTGATGAAACATTGAGAACTCTTCAGGTATAAATCGGCCATTTTATTCAGGCTTTTGCCGGTACATATTCAACCTCGTATAGCTATAGGTTGTTCTTATAATGCTTTGGTTTCCCAAAACAGGCATTGCAATACGTTCAGGATAACCCGGATGAAGTGTGCCCAGCTGGATGGAAGCCTGGGGAGAAGTCCATGAAGCCTGACCCCAAGGGTAGCAAAGAATACTTTGCATCCATATGAGGTGATGACTGCATTTGCTTTACCTAATTTGTTGTTTAGGGAGGATGGAGGCAGTACTTTTCTGTTACATTTTTCTAATGTACCGGCTGAGTTTGGTCATTTTTGAGAATATATACTTGTACACTCTTATATTCTGCCTTTGAAAGCCATTACTTAAAACAACCTCAGTCCATCTGATCTACAATTGGATCATAATTCAATAAGTAAATATACCTATCTTTTTAGTGGTCAGGATTTGGTCTAGTGGTAAGAGTGCAACTTGGGATTTGTGTTTTAGGCGCACATAACTGGTTCTAGTCTTGCCACAGACAAAAACTTGGTATTTAAGCGGATAAGATATAGCGATGGGCTCACTATCTGCCGAGTTCTCAGCCATGAATTTCTCGGTTATCAAAACATAATATGTACGTACCAATTTTTGCATCACTTCACAAGTTATATGCACTATTCTTGTTTCTAGCTCCTCTCTTCTGGTGGGCCAATATTATTATGTTCAAATAGTGTGGGAACAAGCATATGCTTTTTCTGCAGCACTCACCAGTGTATTATAACCATTTTCAATATTTTCCAATTTACACAACCTGCTTATCAGAGTAGTTTACGTCACAAACATCATCCTCACTTCTCCGTACATTCATTTGACACACTACCATATTTGGCAATCTTATCCAAAAATGGGAGAGACGAGGGAATATATGCTAGTATATAACTTTTCTCTTTAATTTTGGGTTTGTTGACACGTTCCAGCACATAACAACCGACTGATATTGCTTATTGGCAAAATGCATACTTTACCCATCGACCTTGTCCTCAAATTCCTCTTACACACCTGTTAAATACGAGAATAATATTACACACCAAAAATTTATTTTGAAGGTGTGTCAATTATACACCACTTCGGTATTTGACCACATCTGCTAAAAAAGTGCTATTACACGCGCCAATCAGCATCTGACACGTGTCATAAATNTATAGAAAAGAAAAAATCTCGCCCCTTCATCTTCCCAACCCAGCATCTTCTTCACCACCACCACCATACCACCGCCAATCCTTCCACCACAAACACCTTCTTTCCTTACTATAGATTCAATTCTTTGTAGAGTTTTAACAAGTTTTAACAATATTTATCACAAATCTTTATACAAATTTCATATTCAAGCTCAAACCCAAAGCTTCAAACTTGTTAATGGTGTTTTTGAATTTTATCAAAATTAATCACCAAAGTTATAGTATATTCTTAATGAATTTTTACTCAACAATAATCACGAATTCAAAATCAACAAGATCCTATTAAATTTTCAAGCTTTTCCAGAAGGTCAATAATGGTTATTTTTACAAGACCCAATAGTTTCTCTTTTCTTCTTCTTTTTCTTTTTCTTCTTAGTCATGGGGTTGAAAAGGCGAAACATGAGTGGTAGACAAAACTAGGGTTTGGGGGGTTTGGGGTTGGGGAAGAAGACATGAGTTATATATTTTTTTTTCTTTAATTTAATAAGAAAATGTTAAAATAGGAAAAAAAAAAAACTTAAGTTCAGATGAATTTTTACTTTTCACGTGCCTCTTTTATGTGTAATACACGCGTGTGACACATTGCAAAAAAAGTGTGTAATTGACGCACTTTTAAAAGTTTTGATGTGTAATATTGTATACGTGTTTCACAAGTTTATAAGAGGAATTTGAGTAATAGGTCGATGTATAAAGTATGTATTTTACCTTACTTATTAGATGTAATTCTTTATATATCCCTAACACATAGCATCACCATATATATTCCTGGTCTACAAACCACTTAAGAATATTTTATGAGAAACAATGATCAGTAAGATCCTTCTATTGTTTAACCAGATTTCTATTTGAAGATTCCACTTGGCTGTAGACTCCTCCATCCACATGATTTGGAGCCATTATTGCATCGACGTGGTTTTCAACAAATTGCCTTATAACTAATCAAGATAATCATATAATTATTCTCTTGGTAGGTTTTATATATAACCGAAATCATTTAATGATTCAATCTGCTTTAAAATAAATAAGCAAAATTCATGAACGACAAATTGGGAGCAAACACCATTAATCTAAATGGAATGATTAGATTTACGTATCTTAAAGAAAGGACACACTGAGATTTGTTTTCAATATCTTACATACTGATGACTTGTGAACCTAGATTATAAGGATATGTCACGTGAAATTTTCCAGAATTTACGCCGAGCACAAATGTGAAGGGCATTAGATTATTAATTTATATGCACCGTATAAAAGATTTAAGTTAAATTCTTAAATTTATTAGAAGAAAACAGACTCTGTATAATTTGATCTCCTTTTACTCTCAAAGACTGTTAGGTAGACACAAAGTTAAAAAGGGTTCTAAGGGCTTTAGTAATTTTGTGGAACCAAAGAGCCTGTTGTACCTGATATTACATTCAGACCTTTCTGAATTTAAATTCATGAAACATGTGAATGACACATTGATTATTATCTAAATTATATCACATAAATTATTATCTTTATAAAAGAAAAATAACATTTGTAATGAATTATAAAAACAAATGTTCTCAGCAGTAAGAGAGGTGCATTTGGGATGGATAGATTTCAAGCGCTCTCTAGATCTGTCTATCTTTTCACTTTCATATTCTTGAACCATAGAAAGATTAAGAGAAAGAAAAATCGTCTACTCTTAAAAATCAGTTATTTTGCTGATTCAGATCATAAAGTCTGATTACAAGAAGTTGAGAAGAGTGTCACAAATTCAAGCTTGATTCTATAGATATGGATATTACAATAAATATGTGTTTACCTTCAAAATCGGATAACAATTAAATTTGTAAGTGGTATTAAGGATATGCGGATTAATTTGACACAAAGCGATAAATTAAGTTGCAATTGAAATAAACAATGATAAAGTAAATTCAAACCACACGAATTGAACAGTTACAGTCTTGGGAGGTTAGCCACCCTCGAACTTGATGCACTTCGATCGGTATCAAGACTGATGTTTTATACTTCAATGCCACACAAGACGGGGGGGGGGGGGGGTAGGTGATTTGTGTGGTGTCCAATTTTCGCGTGCACAGATTATAGAAGGACATGATTCTTCTATGTTCCTTAAAGTACTATTGCGGAAATAATAAATGCGGAAAGTAAAGAACACAAGTATTTTTACGTGGAAAACACCCGGCTCAAAAGGTAAAAAAAACAACTACCTACTACTCAGTAGGATTTTCCCCAACACTCACTAAATCACTGAGCCAAAACAGCATTTACAAAACTCTTTGTAACCCTAAGGATTACCTCTAATCCCGTTGTGGCAACCAGCCTCTAACTGTTGCGACAACATCAAGTTAACTCTAACTTGAATACTCAGAGTACCTAATACAATTGCTTCTAGATAAAACTGAAAGGTACAAATTGAAAACCACCTACTATAATGAGACTAGAATAAAAGACAGACACTTGGAACTGGTTCTTCTATCTGGTTCATGTAGCTTCAAGTTCGCACACTTGAATCACACAAGAATTGCTTGCAAAATGCCTTGCTATTTTGCTCTCAACTCACGTTTAACTTCAGCTTTTCTGAATCCCTGTAAAGTGAGAACATCCTGTAATTTGTAGAGTTAGTAGAATAGGAAATAACTAGAGTTTCAATGCTATACTCTTCCTTGGTGGAAGAGTTCTAGTTATCTTTAACTTCTAACTCATCCTGTATCTTAGATAAAGTTCTCTTCGAGTAAGGAGTCCTTCTCCTTATCATTTATGCAACCTTTTCGATAGGAGATATCTATAACCACTTAAGCTTATTTTCCTCATGTGCATCCCTTATGCTTGAATCTGCCGGTGTCTGTGTATACGGTGGATGGACCTGGTTCATGCTTGAGCTCCTTTGTCAATCATCAAAATAAACTTTACTTGGGCCAACAAATTCTCCCTTTTGATTATGAGAAACTCTTTGCTTTTCATAAGCATAATCCCTGTTTTATAGTCACTAATCATCAAGGACCAGGTTCATTAGGTTATAAACATCACAGTCCAAAGTAAAAGCACAACCTATCTTCCCCCTTTTGGCATCATCGAAAAGTTGCATAATTATGTTAGATAACCAGATTTTAATAGAGATTACTCATGGCCATTATGGCCACTTCAAATGCAATCATAGAAGCAAGTATCATTTATCAATGATATTAGCCATCAAAGAAGCATCAACAAGCAGTTAGTGCACAAAAACAGTTGATTATCATTGATACTTAGTCATCCACACAACATAAAGAGAAATAAAAACACTGGATCATGAACAAAAGAAAGAAAAAAAATCTCATCCGAGTCACTAATTGGTCTAACTAGGCTAGAAGGGCTTAAGGCTGGGAAGGACCAGGTTCTTGGTGGTTGGCTTGAAGCAGTTTCAACATATCCTGAAGAATGCCATCATTCTTCTCCTTCTCTTTTGCCAGCTCAGCTTTGAGAGCATATCTCTCAGTTTCCACTTCTGCCAATCTCTTCCTCAGCCTTTCAATTTCAACATCCTTAGCCCCACTCTCTTGCACCAAGGCTCGAACTTTGCTGTTCACAAGTACCTTTTTGGATGAACCAGGTTCTTTTGGAGTGGTGTGAACTTTATAGTCACGAGAAATTAGAGTGTTTGCCCCAAAATGATCCTTGCTTGTACCAACTTCCCATTTCTTGATGGGTACCTTGAAGTGTGCAAGTACAGCCGTGAGAATAAAACCATAGGGTATGACATGAGTTTTGGTGCCACTTAGAACCCTATCAAGGAACTGAATAATAAATCCAGGCTAATTGATTTACCTTCCACTATCCAAAAAATCCATAAAGACCAGGTCCATGAATGTGGCAATGTGCCTCCTTTTCTGCCTGGGCCGCACAACTTTGTTAACAAAATCGAACAATACTTTGTGGGGTGGCTTCATCTCACTTTTGTATATAGCCTTGAGCTCAAGCTCTTCTTCATTGTCACCAAAGGAATGACAAGGGCAGTAGGGAGATTCTCTAGACTTGGCCATTTGAGCTTCTTATAATCATTGTACCCTTCAGCAGGTACACCTAAGATCTCTCCCAATTCTTTATCATCAAAACTCACTGTCACTCCCTTTACCACACTGGTGACCTACCATTTTTGATCTCACAGTTTGCCATGAACTCCACAATCT